TTTAAATCTATTGCTCAAGCTAGATACAAAAAATAAGCAATGCGGTACTTGCATGAAGATCATCCATTCCGTTAATCTCAGCAATTACATCTTCGTTTATCATTTCCGGTTTATCCCCAACATCAACTGATTTATCTAAAACCTTTTTCTAGTGCATCTAGAAGCTATTACTACAGCATCTACAGCTATTAGACCATTCTTCCAATAAACATCAGATTGGTCGAAATAATTACGAGTTTTCCAGATTCCTGCAAAATTCCAGAAATACCATGATTTACCTTGATACAATTGTAATTCAAACTTCAACTTCGCAAACTTATTTCCTATTTTTCTTATAGAATTTCTGTATGTGGCCTAAATATTGCAAAGAAAGTGGTAATGTGTACTTGTTTTCGGTACCTTATTCATATTTAAGAAAAATATTACTAATTTTGAACTTTTCAGCTACTTCAATAGTTAAAAAAGTATCTATAGTATAGTAGTAATAATAGTTAAAAAAGGGTTTTACGTATTTGTAGTCGAAATTGTAATAAATGTTCTTTCTTCAGTTTACAAAGTGATCAAAATTAAGGAATTGGAAATCAAGACTAAGATTGATTTCAGTATTGGTTAATGAAAACTTGAATGGAAATTCATTTGGAATATATGTAAAAATTGTATGTTAACGATGAATAGCGTTGTGGATGTCGCAATGAGCTCGTTCCGAAAGCGTGATCGTAAATTGGATTGTTGAATAATGGACACAGCTGAGTTGTGGGCGATCGTCAGCAGCAGTTCTTCAGTATCTTCTTGGAGCGCGCCCCGAATAGTTCAGACTCTCCTACCTACCTGTTCCGAATGCAATTTTGTAATTGAGCCCAAGCGAATTGAATAATTGAATGTGGTAAATAAAAATTCAATTCGTTTTATTGGATAATTAAAATAAGGTCCTAGTGTTGAGTGCGGGCGGTTGTGTCGAGTGCGTCTGTCGCTCTGTGATGGGAAGAAGTAGGATGATGATGATGATCAGGAGATCCGAAGTGATTTGAATTTTTGTGTAAAGAGAGAAGAGCGCGCGTAGGTTGATGCACGGTATTTCATCCTGAAAATAATCCCATTGTGAAAAAACTTGTTTTGGACCTCAAAATATGATTAGTTTGTACTTATCAGGCGATTTGACCTTTTCGAGACGGAGGCTTTTTAATCGCATAAGTGGGTAATTCGCCACCACTTTGGGGCCGCCTCCAATTGCCGCGATGACGTCATCCATTTCCTGCAAGAAGGGTAAGAGGCCTTAGATGAAGAATGTGTAGATGGAGAAGAGATGCTAGCTACATAGGAAACGACGACGACAAAGTGTGCACACATATACACTCACGAAGATAGAAAGAGAGATGTGTGAGCGACGTTCGAATTAGTGTTAATGCACGCAATTGGATTTTGTCCCGAAAATTCTGGCGAGCCGCCATTCGTCGGCGCGCCGTTTAATGGCTCGAAACGGTCCTCCGACACTCACTTAACTGAGGAAATGCATAATTTCAATCAACGGCACAATTTGTCCTTTGACTCTTTCAAAATAAAAATAAAAGAAACTTGACCATATTGAAACATAAAAGCATACCGCATTCCAAACTACAGAATGAAGAAGTTTTTTCTAAGATCAAAGGAATTCACGACGAAAGTTACATATATTAATCAAATCATAACAACAATTACATTGAGCCAAGGAAAATATATTTTCTAAATATTTCTATATTATCTAAGTTTAAATTCGATGAATTTACAAGGAAAATTGCTGAATAAGTAATTGCGTTTCATTAAAAATATGTTTGTTCCATACAATTTTTTAATTTCAACTTTACCATAAATTTATCAGAAGACCAATGAGGATTATATTCGTAGAAAAGTACTATATTTGTAAAATTTTTAACTATCGTGGTGTATATAGTATCGGTGGCAATCCCAAGCCCGACAACCGAAATCACGTCTCTCAAAATCCCGAGTGTATCGAAATCCCGACGTTCGAAATCCCGGCTGGCTCAAAATCCCGACGTTCAAAATCCCGACTATGTCAAAATCCTAACTACCATAATCCCGACTATATCGAAATTGAGACTATATCGAAATCCCGACAGTGTCTTTTATTATTATAAATTTCTATAATAACATTTTTATGGTAGTCGGGATTTTGATTGTCGGGATTATGGAAGTCGGGATTTTGACATTGTCGAGATTTTGATTGTCGGGATTTTAATACAGCCGGGATTTCGAACGTCGGGATTTCAATAGACGGTCTTTCGGTTGCCGGGCTTGCGATATAGACCCATATAGTATATATAACGAATTGCTAGACAAGTTAATCGCTAAGCATCGAGTAGTTATTTTATAAATGAAGAAAAACGTTAATTTTAATCCTACTTCTTCATTCAATTCACTAAATTATTATTAAATTTTAAAGAATACGAAAATTTTAAATATTTTTTTTTATCATTGAATATTACAAAAATCATATTTTTTAGTATAATAAAGTTTCAACATTTCATATTGTCTAAACTTTAAATTTTTTAGATACTCATTAACAATATTACAGTATTTATATAACTTTAAAAGTAGCAAAACTAAAACTTGTTAAACTTCATTTGCACGATTTTGTAAAATTGTTCATCTTGTCCAAGCAAATATGGAACGTTTAATAAAAACCACAACGTTTTAATCTAAGATCTGCATTCAAACTATATGCTATTTAAGTTCGTTGTCTAATGACTGCAGCAATCTACATAATCGCAGCATAAATGCGGTCAATTTGTTGTTTCGCCTCGTGCACATTGCTCACAAAATTGAGATGCATTGATTCAATTTGTTCACAAAACTGAAATTCTTACAAATACAAACGTTACAATATTCAACAAAAAATCATTAGTTCATGTCGTTTTCATTAAGACTACAATTATTGTATTAAATTACTTTATTACAAACATTTAAATAATTTGTGACTAAGGATAATATCCTTGAGAGGACGAAATAATTTACTTAAATACTACAGAATTTCGAGTGTTAGATGATTCACAACAATTAATTTAAGACATATTAACAAATAAAACCATGTTTTGTAGTATTCCTTTTATTCCAAGAAAACATACAACAATTTGGTCATATTTTGAACTAGAGGTTTTACATATTTATCAATTGAAAATATCGATGATAAATTTGTATTTAAAATTGTGCAAATTAATCGAATGCAGAAATCGAGTGTAAGTTTCGAATTTGTCGCGACAAATACGTACGTGCATTACGCAACAAACAGAGTGATTATTAAATTATGTGATTACTGTGGCACAATAAAAACGTAGAGTGTCACAATGGAAACAGTTGTGTAAATAATAATGGGAATTCAATTGGATGCGATTAGATGATTGTGTTGTGAATAGGAAAGTGCTACTAGCTAGCGTTTTTTTTCTTTCTTTCTGCTTCGATTTTGCAGATATCCGTGCACGTCTTCTGCTCCTCCTGCTGCTGGTTATTGCAGACGGCGCGATTGGTGTGGACAGGGATGTACCGAATCGATGTCCGGGTCCTCCAGATAAAGGACCTTGCAACAGGAACATCTACAAGTGGGCGTACAGCGAGGAGCACAAGATGTGCTCGATGTTCATATGGGGTGGATGCGCCGGGAACGAGAGGAACCGCTTCGACACGGAGCTGCAGTGCGTCAAGAGATGCATAAATCAAAACAGTGAGTCCGTCCGTTCGTTCGTTCGTTCGTTTCAATTGAGTTATGCTTAAATGGATTCATGGGAACGGCTAATCTATTTACTTCATTCGATTCCAGTGACGAGCGCAAACAATAATCCTGTTCCGACGAGAGATCGTGGACCCCAATTGACGTTCCTCGAAACCGGACATCAGAATACTTTCATGTTCGCACAGTCCAATACGTTCATACAGATCGATGGAGATATCATACAAACCTTTCAATTGAGGTAATCAAGTACACTTTAATTGAACAACGAAAAGTATTCAATAGTTGTTCTCAAACTATCTTTCACACACTATTAATTGTGTTAGACAAGTCTTAAATTTATTTTGAAATATTCAAATCAACGCTTAAAACAACATGCATTAAGAAAAAAATTGATTATAATTACTCATTACCTAAGTAACAAACAATTGACTTTAATCCGTAACTACTACGGACAAATAAATGAAACTCAAGTACATGTACTACCTATGGGTCAAAATGACCCAATTAGTAAATATTAAAAGAAAACCAAATTATTAAACACACACATTAATTCTTATTATTTAATGAATTTAAGAACATTTATAACTGATTTAATTTCTCAAAACACTCCAAGCAAGTAGAACAAATTGGTCATTTGCATATGAGACAAAACGTTGATGTTTTCTTGTCGCTACCTAGAATACTTCTTTCCTAATGATGAGGATCCATATATAACTTTATTGTTGACACCAACGATATTTAATGGGAAACCAAATATTGATGGTATTTCTAGAACGTATTTACTATAGACAGGTCACTTTGACCCAAAATACGCTCTACAATAAAATAAGTACCTCTCGCAGTTTCAAATGTTTACATGTTTGAATTTTACATAGTATTCATACTGCTTAAGCCTAAGCTCTTTCAGCATGCAGTTTAAGGGGTAGATTTGATGAGTATTAAAAAAAAATTAACATTATAGGATAGAAGCACATTGTAGAACATTCTTGAAATCAGGAAGATATTAGAACATGGATAGAAATCTTAGAGAACACATTTAGACAATTACACATTTAGAAACATTAAGATCACACATTTTAAAGGACACCTAATACACATTTTGTAGACACTAAGAAATATAAATAAGAAAGAAATTGGAATTGGTTCGACTTTTACATTACATTATAGGATAGAAGCACATTTGTAGAGTAAATGCAGAACATTCTTGAATTCAGGAAGAGATTTAGAACATGAATTGAAATCTTAGAGAACACATTTAGACAAGTGCACATTTAGAAAACATTAAGATTACATATTTTAAAGGACACCTAATACACATCTTATAGACACTAAGAAATATAAATAAGAAAGAAATTGGAATTGGTTCGACTTTTACATTACATTATAGGATAGAAGCACATTTGTAGAGTAAATGCAGAACATTCTTGAAATCAGGAAGAGATTTAGAACATGAATAGAAATCTTAGAGAACACATTTAGACAAGTACACATTTAGAAAACATTAAGATTACACATTTTAAAGGACACCCAATACACATTTTATAGACACTAAGAAATATAAATAAGAAAGAAATTGGAATATGGAATATCACAGAAAGTATGGGCTAATGTTTTCAGTAAGATCATTGAAAATGGGAACATCAGATTCAAGATTCTGCACTAGTTTAGCTGGAGGGAATGGCATTTTATTTTTGGTTTTAGCCTGAGACAGTTACTGGGAGGAAGTTTGAATACCTCTCGCAGCGATTGCTTTGTTCCTACTGAAAAGTGTATTAGAAAATTCTTTAATAACTAGAAGATGGATCACTCTGACCTATCCGAAGTACTTAAGGGTTCATAACATATCTAAGCAATTGAAAATTTTGCAATGTTATAAAAGAAGTTTTACTATTTCGTTATTTAATTACTTTTTAATATGGAAGTATATAAAGATGTTTATTTTACTAATAGTTTATTTCTACATATTTGTATTATAATAGCGTCCATGGGTTTGGTGAAAGAACATGGGTTTGATGGTATTTAGGAAGTGTGTTATGTCAGGATTGTCATCTAAGGGTGCGTTGTGGGCGAGAACTACCGGTGGGAAGGGGATTTTGTTTTTGGGTTTGCGGGTGCGGGTGTGGTGATTCAGGGAGAAGATTTTGGCGACATGTTGGCCTTGGAGTTTATGAATGAAATCAGGGATTTTAGGGAGTGAGGCGAGCGGGTACAGATATGTTGCAGTTTATATACCCTAACCATGTAGTACCCTTATCAGACCTTCCCGGAATACTAGCTGCGGGCTGGAGTACCGGGTTTGTAGGTGACGTCATATAAGCGGGCTTGAATGAGCGCCACAGTTATTTTTTTTGTTAATTTCTGTAACTTTATCATCGAATTTATACGAAAAATTGAAAATTTTAAGTCATGAAGAAAATTATGGCCAATAGAAATATGTAAAAAAAATAATCATTTATTTGTCACGAAACTTTCTTTATATTTGCACAAAAGATAATAGATTTTCGAAATATTATATAATTCATATTACATGAAAATGAAACAAATATAATATAAAATGGTAACGTTTCTTTTATGACACTTTGTATGTCAATTCATAGGACAGGATAGGATTATTATATTCGCATTTTTCAACTACAATCAAATGAACCGAAACCAACTTGGCTTACATTTGCGAATATTAATGTAATTGAACTACAAGGTTCTTCCTCATCTGTGTCACAATGCCTTTCAACTGAAACACGCCTGAATGCAAATCATTTTATTTATTACATCTAAATTTTAAAGCATTAAACTTACAAAAAATATAATCACATTTCAATGAATTCTTAACATCATACTGTTAAAAAAAAGGAGCGTAGAATTAAGACAAATTATGGTATTTATTGTAATGCAGGTTGTGTCGTCAGATATCGTTTCAATTTCGCACGAGGTTACCACACGGTTTATTGGTATACCATAACGTGAAGGCACCATCAGGAGTTTCTTTGCAGCCTTACGCCCTTTACATCATCGTGCAGCAAGGACAACTCAAAGTGGTTCACGTTTACGGAAAGCATTCGACCGCGTTAACAGTTGGACGTGGATTGAACAGAGACGAATGGCATTTTGTTACGGTGAATATTGTTGAAATTTAAATCTTTAAAGGCAATCATTTCTTGTGAATCTTTGGATTAGGTAAGGATCGACGTCCATGCGGCACGGCTCATGGCCACAGTCGATGAACTGAAAGGCGAGACTCATCTGAAGGGTTTAGATAAGGAAAGCAATTACGGTGTATCTGCTAACATAGCTTCTGTAATACTAGTTGGAGGTACAAATAAAGTATTTTTAATGTTACTTTAGCTAAGGAATGATACATTTTAGGTTTAAGCTCCGAAGAACGCTTGCATGGTGTTAAATACATAATAGAATCGTTCGTTGGGTGCATCAAGGATGTTATTTTAAGTACAGGCAAATCTGCCTCTGATTTGCTTCCCATAACACCGTTGATTGCCACGAAGCACGAAAACGTCCAAGAGGGCTGTATAAACAAGTGCAAGACTTACGACAACCTCTGTTTCCAAGGCTCCACTTGCATCAATCACTACAACAGTTTGACCTGCGATTGTTTTGGAACTCAATACGAAGGAGAATACTGCGATATTTATAGTAATGTTTAATAAATAAAAAAAAGATTAAATTAAATTAATTTCGAATATTTCAGCTGCGACTGTCTTGACGATGCGTGGATCTTCTTACGTTTCGTACAGAGTTTATGATTGGAAAGATAGGGTTCATTCGGCTATGAATCGGTTTTCAATGCTCTTCAAGACAAGATTCGATGATTCTTCCTTGTTCTATGCAGCTGGTGGTGAAGAGGGTATCGACCATTACATTGCAGCTTCCATTTACAATAACTCGGTCTACATAGAAATCGATTTCGGCGATGAACCCATCAACACTATTCTAGGAAAATCCAACAATTTCACCGAATGGAACAACTTGACCATTTTCCACGAACACGAACGAATCCATCTGGTGCTGAACGACGAATTGGTGACCATAAACATCAGCAGAAATCCTCTATTATATATAGATCCTGAGATTTACATTGGAGGCGGCCCAGAGTTGCAGAAGAAGAAAGGTTTATGGTCGCGAAACAATTTTGCTGGTAGCATAAAGTACGTTTTTTACAACGACATTTCGATCATTTATGAATTGAAGAAGATGAATCCGAAAGTCCATTACATCGGTATTTTGAGACCGGAATTCTACGAGGCCGATCTCGAGGTTATACCTTTGACCTTTCCCTTTGCTTCTTCGTACATTTGGTGGCCCAACGAGCACACGGATTACCTTTACTTGATCTTCGACTTCAAAAGCAGCAGCAATCTTAGCGTTCTCGCTTCGAGCGAAGCGCAAACCGGCATCTACTGGGAGATAAGATTGGTCAACGATGAAATCCGTTTCGAGTTATCCGACTTCAATAAGAATTCGACATATCTGTTGAGCGTGAAGAAGACACCAGGAATTTGGCACACGCTCACTTTGAAATACGAAGATGAAGAATTATTTTTGTCCGTCGATAACAAATATAAAAAGGAGAATCTTGTGGATTTAAAGTTTACCATTGGTGATAAGATTAAGATTGGAAGTGGGTCCAGATCAAACGCGGGCTTGGTGGGATGCATGAGGGATATTGAAGTGAACAACTATAAATTGGAACCGAGATCCGTTCTGCAATCGGAAAGGGTTTTGGGTGAGGTAACTTTAGATGATTGCCAATTCGTGGATCCTTGCAAAAGACCAAATACTTGCGAACACGGCGGTAAATGCTCTGTTAAGGAAGATACTTTAACTTGTGATTGTAAGAACACTGGTTACATCGGTAAAAACTGCCATTTCACGAAGCATCGAAAAACGTGCGAAGAATTAGCTCTTCTTGGTAATTTTCTACAAAGAACATCCAATTATTATTAATAACTCTTAATTTCAGGATACACAAAACCGGACGTTTATTTGATTGACATTGATGGTAACGGAAGATTCCCTCCAGCTCACGTGCGTTGCGAGTTTCAAAGTTTGGAAGATTCAACCAAAACCATAGTCGAGCACAATTTACCCAGTCAAATAGACGTGCGATCTCCTTCAGAGAAAGACTTCAGTTTCAGCATCAAATACAGAGAGTTTACTGCAGATATGCTTCAAGAATTGGTCTCGCATTCTTTGAATTGCAGCCAGTACATCAAATACGACTGTCTGAAAGCTCCATTGGAATTACACTCTGCCACTTGGTTCATGAGTTCCGCAAATCAAACTGTAGATTTCATAGGAGATGTTAAGAGGTTCGTTAGTATCTTTTGATCAATTGAAAACTAATATTTTTTTTATAAATAATTAGAGGGACTTGTCCGTGTTCCATTGGAAGACAATGCGAAAGTCCGTCTCAATGGTGTAACTGTGATGATGTAGTTGATGCTAAATGGAATGCGGATGATGGATATTATACCAAGAGCTCGAGCTTAGGCATCACGGAAATGTTTTTCCTTCAGCAACCGAATTTACCACCGGATGCTTTAGGAAGGATTACTTTGGGACCTTTGGAATGCGTTGAAACAAGTAATTTTGATAATTAAAGCATATTGAATCATTGATTAATTGTAAATCATTAACGTTTAGATACTCAAAAGTACGTGGTCACTTTTACCACAAGTCAATCTTACATCGAAGTCCCCGGTTGGAGGAAAGGTGATTTGGCTTTTTCTTTTAGAACCACCGGAAAGATTGCAATTCTCTTATATCAACCTCCAATTCGACCAAATTACCCAAGCTTTATGGTAGCATTAACCAATGGTAATAATAAATAATTTAACTGAGTATTTCGATCATAATAATTATTGTTCTTTAAGATTACCAGTTAACGTTTAACTTTACTTTAAACACTGGAGTATCAAAGGAACTTGTAGTAACTTCTGATAGGCGTTTGAATGCTGGGGAATGGCACAAGCTTTGGATCGATTACAACAAATACCACGTGCGATTCATGATCAACGAAGAGTACGCAATGGATAATTTGAAGCCGGAGGAAGAGTTCGGACCTTTCGAAGGATCAATGTTCATTGGAGGTGCTCCGTAAGTTTACCTGAAACTTCATCAATTAAAAATTATTAAATTGATTTTTTTTACAGCGATTTTCTCCATCCGAAATCGTCGGTGTCTCAAGGTCTGATTGGCTGCTTCCGCGGTTTGGTGGTCAACGATGAAGTGTTGGATATCTACAGTTACATGAGCGTGCATTTGAGCGAAATTATCAAAGATTGTAAACCATCCTGTGTTCCGAATCCTTGCAAAAACGGTGCCCAATGCAAAGAGCTTTGGAGCACTTTCGAATGTATTTGCCCGAATCCTTGGGCCTACAAAGGGATTTACTGCGAAACTAGTAATCACATCTCATAATGTACTGTGCAATGTAATTATTGTAAATTCATTCTTTTAGATATTAACACCAACGCTATTACCTTTACTCATCCGGAATCGTATCTGAAGAAGAACTATTTGGGAGCTGAAGTTTCTGAAGAGAAATTCGTGCTGAAGCAGATTTTCGCCAGTCAAGTCCTAATCAATCTGCGCACATACGATTACACTTCGCTAATTCTGTACGCCAACGATCATCTCAACAATTTCGTGCACTTGTATTTGGAGAATGGAACGAACGTTGTCTACATGTTCAATTACGGAAATACAATCCATAACATCACTGTGGAATACGCGGAATTGAATACGAGTAAATCAGTGCAAATCGCTATTGTTAGGAGGCAAGAGAACACCACGTTGCACGTTAACGATAAGAACAATACCATTCCCATTGGCGTACAACTCTTGCAGAACTATTTGAACAAACCTTGGACGAATGCGGAGAAAGGTAAGTTTTGGTGTTTCAATTTTGTGAATGATGGATGCAGTGTTTAACTTTTAGAAGTCCTCGCTCCGCCTAGACCACCCGCACCACCAACAGATTATTTCCAATTGAATTTAGGCGGTTACGACCCAGAGACTCTCATCAAAATATCGGATAATCCGCCAAATTTGCCTGGCTACGTTGGATGCATTCGCGGATTGCAGATCGGCCCGAGCCTCATCGACTTACCATCCAAAGTCAAAGAAAACGATAGAGGAATGGGTAGTTATATCTAATCTCAATTTACTTCTTCATACTTTCATTAACCGTTGAAATTACTTATCGAAATTAAAAATGAAGAAAATCATTTAATTAGAGACTATTTTAGGTGTTAAAGCGCATTGCGACATGAAATGTGATTCGTTTCCTTGTAAAAACGATGGCATTTGCATCGAAGACTTCCGAAATCAGGAGCACGCTTGCAACTGCGAATTGACTAGTTACTATGGTGAATTTTGCTCGGATGAGAAAGGCGCCGATTTCAGCGGAGAATCTATACTTTGGAGGGAATATTTTCTGAACGGATCCGTGGATTATGTTAAAGTCCAATTGGCTTTCTCTACAACTGACGTTAGGCAAAAGAATACAGCTTTATTGCTTCTACAAACGGAGAATAGGTAATGTTAATTAACAATTTTGTTTCCATTGAGATTAATTCGTGTTCTAGTCGAAGATATTACTTGCTGATTGGTTTGACTCCTGAGGGATACTTGATATTCCAAGAGGATCGCGAGAGTGCCGTTTACAGCGCCATAGTTGAGAAGAGTTTCATCAACGGAGCAAGACATTCCATTTACTACAAGAGAATGAAAAACGAGTCTGAACTTCTCGTGGATAGAGACGTGATCGTGATGGCCCAAATCCCGGCTTTGTCTTTCACAAGAATACCAGAGATGGGAGCCAACGAAGTGCAAATTGGAGGTCACAACACGAGCGATCCGCGTTTCGCAATCTACAAAGATTACAGCGGTTGCTTATCAAGTAATTTACTTTACAAATTGAATCAATTGATTTCATTTATTTAATCATTAATTGCAGACGTTTTTGTGCAAATCAATGAGCACGTTATGAAACCCCTAGAAGAGTACATGTTCTTCACCAAAGCCGGCGCCGAGAAGGTAAACGTATCCAATTCTCAAGGAGTGAGAAGCGCTCAGTGCAGTTCACAGTTCGATCTGAGCCACAAGAATCCAGTTGGACCCACAAATCTGAACATAAGCCAAGTAATTACCAACACAACAATCACTTGAATTGAGTTTAAATTAAATTAATTTTAGGGAAAAGATAAGACTTGGGTGGAAGATGCTCCACAAAGGGTTGTCTACAAATCTCAGTATAATACAGCGAGCGTTGAAGAGGAAGGACGCGAGAAGATGGTTGTTATTGTGTTGGCGGTGTTGTTCGTAGTCATCATCATAGGTTCTTATTACGAAGTATATAGAAACAACAAGCAGTACAAAAAGAGGAAGGAGATGGAAACGGATGCAAGTATATTGTGGTCCAAAGAACAAGCGCTGAAGCTTCAAGAACCTACCAGCAAAGCAGCAGAAAACGTAAATTTAATCAACCATTACAACATAATTACTTAATTAAAGCGATATTTCAGGCTATAGATAAACCTATAATCAACGGAAAATTACCCAGCAAAAACGGTACTGGAGGACATCAAAATGGAAATCATGTTGCTAAAGAGGTTTCAGCCGATAAGCAACCTGTGGATCAACTGAATAAAACGGTCAAAGAAAAGAGGATTTCGTTCAGAGGTTTGTTAATTTCATCAAAAAAGTATGTATGATTATAATAACTGATGTTTGCAGATGGTAATAGTGAAGTGTCATGGGAATTGCCTGAAAACTCGGAATTGTTGAGCGTTTGCGAAGAGGATGAGGAGGAAATCAATACGTCCGACGAAGACGAGGTGGATAATAAGCAGGTGAATCCAACTAAGTTTTAATGAAATTTCGAAAATATTAAAGAGAAATGTAATCAGGTGTTGCCAGTGACTCCACCGACTAGACTACGTTCAAAGTACCCTTCAACGGCCCACAAGAACCATCTGGCCTCCCACAAGATCGAAGAATCTATAGCAACTATCGAATACAACGCGTGATGAACAAGGGCGGCCTTTTTTTTACTCTATTATTATATTTATACTCGATTATCTAATTAACTTCATGTATTTTCTTTTAAATATAATTAATCAACGTTGGAACGTGCCAAATCGACGACTCATCGATATTATTATTAATACAGTTATTAATTAATGCATCTTCGGAACAATTTTTGTGCTAATTCAATGTGCAGAAGAATATGCTCAACAAGTTATTTCGAAATTACGAGGTAACGTTTGTTAAACGGTGAAATTTGTGATTTAACGTTTAGTGTTACTCTACATGTTATTTAGATCACTAGAGGAACTAGTCAGTGGAATAAAGATTTCTTAGAAAAATATAAATAATTTTATTAAAAAACCCCAATGCAAGCTGTAATTCTCGAAAATATTTTTTAATGTTAATAGAACTATTCATAATAAACATATTTTGTCCGAATATTCAAAAATAATTTTTGATAATTTTCATAATAAAAGTAACATCTGTAGTTGCATATGTTATTGAGATTTATACAAAATGAGTAGTTGTAGCATGTATGTATTAGTTAGAAGTATTTCATCTTAATTAACGATTCAAATTAATTGTTAATTAAAATATTTGAATTATGATAAAAATCAAACAGCGCCAAAACATATGAACTTTAAGCTTGGCAGAGATACCGCGTGATGGCGCAAAACTAAATTTATTAATAAACTTATATAAAACAAGACGAACTCTACGTGATACTTGCCAAGTTTTGCAAAATCTATATTTCAATAAAACAGAATAAAAATAATACTGCAATTTGTTTTTAAAGAAATTTATATATCTCATCTTCAATTTCAATTCCTTCGGTAATTATAACATTGGTTGTCAAATCAGTATGTTTTCTACTAATGATTATTTAAGATGCCAAATGTATATATTGAACCGGTGGCAATCGCAAGCCCGACAACCAAAATCCCATCTATCGAAATCCCGACGTTCGAAAACCCGAGTGTATTGAAATCCCGACGTTCGAAATCCCGACTATATCGAAATTCCGTCTATATCGAAATCCAGACAATCTAAAATTTAATAAGATTATTAATTGTTGTTATTTATTGTTAATAACATAAACTAATTTTATTATAGAATATTTCTTATTATTAAGTTTTATAATGAATAAGTCAACAAAAAAAATACAATAAAATACAATTAATATTATTTATTGTTCTTAAGAATAAATAACAACAATTAATAATCGGGCAAAAGAGGTCTTAAAAATATTTTTTTTCAGTATCCGTCGTACCTATTAAAATATAGTACAATAATTTAAAAATGTTATTGTAGAAATTATAATAATAAAAGACACTGTCGGGATTATGGTAGTCGGGATTTCGAAAGTCGGTCTTTCAATACGTCTTTCAATAGACAATCTTTCGGTTGTCGGGCTTGCGATATAGACCCTATTGAACATATTCTGTAAAGTGTGTGGTCACCTTTAAAAATCAATTCACTGCCATCTGTGATTGTCGTTACAAAACAAATGGTCGAATTACCAAACAAATTAGTGCAGTGCTTTGTAAATAGTTTCGTATTGGATGCATATGTCTTTCTGTTCTGTTAATTGTTACTAGATTCTGAAGATCTGATCAGTATAAAATTGCTGCTAAAACGTTGTCTCATGAGAAATTAATTTCAATCTACAACACATCAACAATAGACTCAAAGATTGAATCATTTTTTATCTATACCAGTGATTCTCAAAATTTTTGATCAGCGACCCCTTTTTGGACGTAAAAAGTTTCTGCGACTCCCCGAAGAATTATCATTTTTTTGCGACCCCCCCAAATATTTTACACGACCCACACTTTGAGAATCACTGATCTATACTACAATACTGAAGAAAACATGTTATTCATACTTCCAGATTTCTCATAAAACAATAATAAATAGCAACAAAGTGTTGAGCAAAAGAAATATATATATATAATAAATAAAATAACTCATTTTTTTTAATCAATTGATAAATAATCTATTAATAGTTTATAGATAATTGTTTATAGATATTTCAGGATTTCAATTCTTGGAACAATCGTTATTTTTTATTTTACAATCAGATTAACGAGAAACAAACGTGTATTGTCCATTAGTGTATTGTTTTTATAATTTTAGTAGTCACATGCTAATAAATGCATTATATAATTACATTAAATTCAATAGAATAATACAGAAATACCTCGTATAGTGCGTCAATATACCGGACTGTTTGAAACCGAACTAATCTAAATACATACAAAAATAATTGTGTGCAATTATATTATTTTAGAATTCCTTTTATTTTGTTAAATAAAAATTTAGTTATAGTAAATCCGGACTGATCGAAGCCGCACTATGCGAGGTATTTCTGTACACAGTTATGATAGTAATAAATCTATAATTAGTTGACAAATAAGTTAATTGCAGTTTATTGGAGTTCATTTGAAAATTCTTCAAACTAAAAATCAGAATTTATTTCTATTTTCCTCAACTAAAATTTAGTTTGTTTTGAAATTTTCATAGTGAATTCGGACTGATCGAAACCGGACTATGCGAGGTATTACTGTACACTGTTATCTAATATTTATGTTTGTTTTGAAATTTTCATACCGGACTGATTGAAGCCGAAGTATTATTGTATATATAAATATATATTTCAATTTTTCTAACCGTACTATAGTGAATCCGAAGCCATACTATGTGAGATATTGATGTAAATGTTGTTTTGTCATAGTGAATACGGACTGATTGAAGCTACACTATGTGAGATATTGATGTATATCGTTATCTAATATTTAAATAATTAATCTATAATTAGTTGATAAATTAATTAAGACAGTGCAGTTTATTGAAGGATTTTTCAAAGCAGACTATAGTGAATTCGGACTGATCGAAACCGGACTATGCGAGGTATTACTGTACACAGTTATCTAATATTTAAATAATAAATCTAATGTAGTTTATGAACAAATTAAGACAGTGCAGTTCATTGAAGGATTTTTCAAAGCAGACTATAGTGAATTTGGACTGATCGAAATCGGACTATGCGAGGTATTACTGTTCACAGTTATCTAATATTTAAATAATAAATCTACATGTAGTTTATGAACAAATTAAGACAGTGTAGTTCATTGAAGGATTTTTCAAAGCAGATCAAAGCAGACTATAGTGAATTCGGACTGATCGAAACCGGACTATGCGAGGTATTACTATACACAGTTATCTAATATTTAAATAATAATTCTGTAAGTAGTTTATGAGCAAATTAAGACAGTGCAGTTCATTGAATGAATCTTCAATCTAGAACTCGAAAAAAAAATGAATGAAATCCTTCAACATAAACGAACGTCTACAGTCACGACACGTATCTCTGAAATAACATATAAACAAACAAAAACATATATCGTAAATCAGAGCAGAAGCGCTAAGGTCAAATTATACATTTGACCCTAATCGTATCTCGAAAAAATAAAAAAAGATAAAATCAATTTCATTCTTTATTTGTTTTGTTTTTGAAAGGATCATCTAATCTCTCACTAATTAGATGATTGCAGAGATAAAACATCATCTCGATCGTGATAAAAATCTTGGAATGCATAAAAAAAAACGATTATAATCTAATTAAAATTGCGAATTACACAATGAGAGAACATCTCAAATAATTTACGTAATGTTGAAATAGTATTAGTTTGTAGATCCAAGGAGAAGCATTGCGAGAATCCACATAAACGAATTAGATAGAAAAAATGATGGTCAATGGCCTCCGAGAATCTCGGAACGATAAGTTCTTTCGACCCGTGAATATATTTGCTCATAATTGTTGCGTTTCGTGAATGTGAAAGTGTACAATTTTTGGATTATGTCACGAAATCAGTGCGATTTTAATGAGCAATTAACAATTAAGTTTATTATAATTATTGAATGCATTTAAATTTTCTCGTTCAGCATACAAACTGGGTTTATATCGAAATCCCGACAATCAAATTCCAGGCAATCGGAATCCCGACAGTATTATAATGAATAAGTCTATATCAAGTAATAAAAGATACTGTCGGGATTATAGTTGTCGGGATTTCGATTTCGATGCAAAATTAATGTATTCTGATGCATAAACAAATTGTTTTCGTTTTGAAAAAATGTGTTATTTGCAAAGCGCAATTATATTTGTTAAATGATACAAAAAGAAAATTAAACGTAAAACCGGACGCATTAATTAGGTTTTGCCGCACCGAAAGCGATCTTGACTTTCCAACGAGAACAATTAATTTGTACGGATAACCGCAAATAAATGGAGAAGTTGAAAGAGAGAGAGAAACAAATTAGTTTGAGATGAAACATTTTTGAATGGAGGTGTAAATAGTCGGAGTGTTTTGGACGAGAGAGAGAGAGAGAGAGAGTCAAGTTGTTGGATAGAGTGGAATGGGAAAAGCGTGGACCTTGAATCGTGATAACGAATTTGAATCTATGGATGTAATCAAGGAGTAGTAGGATTTGTGGGTAAACGGATCGCACGGATTTCTTCAGTAGCCACTGGAGAGTCGCGGCGTCGAGACACGCGCGCGAGTTTGTGCCGAAGAAATATTTTATAACACAACAGAGAGAGAGAGAAACATTAAGGATTTGTAAACGAATGAATAAAATCGCAACAACGACGCAACTATTATCTTATAATTAGATAATCAAACTACATTGTGACCAAAAAGTTTAAAGTAAATAATACACAAAAAAAAAACAACTTTTGTTTTATAGTTTATAAGTGTGGATATGTGCGAGTAATTTGTAAACTGTGTCCCGAATTACGATGGAACCCGGTAAGATTTCTTTGCACAATTCACTCTCTTCGCGTTTTCATTACCGGACTTAATGGGCCATGCGATTCCTCGAATCCAATTACTCAGGCCGAAGGAAACACATGATTTGTTCGAAAACTTTACCGCAATCATCGCATGTTTCTTCTTTTTTTTTGTTGTATATTATCTTGTTTCTCTTCGAAATCGAAATCGGAATTCGAATTGTTAAAAATGCCAATGAACTTCGGACGAGATCTCCGAATCAAAACGCCATAAACATAACCAGTTTATAAATTAGACAAAAAAAAAATGATGCACGCATCTCAATCTAAACGCGTTCTTTGTTAAAAATAATAATTAGTATTGTCAATGAATTTCTCAATTATTTATTTATTTAGTCATTTTGTAGATGGAATGTAAAATTTTTCAATTTTATTTAAAGAAATGTCAATATTATTCTCGTTTTTATAAATAATTTATTGCTAATTTTAAATCTAAATTATATATTTCATTATTTCTTCCAATTATAATTAATTATATTTAATTTGTAAACTTAATAAAAGCAGTTTCAATAAATGAAAATGAAGAAGAAAAACTTTATTTTCTTTGAATTTTAAGAAATAATTATCATACAGTAGAACCTGTTTTTGTGGGGTCCTTTTTTGTGCGGTCTTTTTATGCGGTACAAGAAGTCCTACCAATTCCAACGGCGTTGTCACCACTATAATGTTTTGTACAAGTGTGCATATGCAAAGCATATTCAAAACGATTATGTTAGTCGATTTTGAACCAATTCTTGAAAAGAAGATGCGCGTTTTGGATTGACACGAGCAGCAGTGAATTATGTATGTGCATTTTTGAAAATTTCTCCATATCAACAATGAGAAAGTAAATGTTTTTAAAATGTTTCCATGTATAATTTAATTGCTTATTTTGTTTAGATCTTTGACGTATTTTCTAAGTGCGATTTTTTTTATGCGGTCCTTATCCACCGCAGAAAAAAGTTTCTGTAATGTATTATACAAAGTTATTAAGTAAGAATTTATGAAAATTTCGAATATTTTTTTGTGCGATTTTTTTTTATACGGCACAAACAAAAACAAGTTTTACTGTAATTATATTCTTTCTCAATATAGTTTATAAACAAACAAATTTATAAGGAAACTATGATAAATTTTTACTTAATCTTAATCTTCAATGAAGCCATGATTAAAAAGATTACAAATATGTAATATATAATTTTCTAATAATTTTATTGCTAATAATATTATAAACATATTTTCTATAATAAATTTTTAATGTGATTTTTGCTTTGTCGTGGATAATAAATATAGTAAGAAAATAGTAAATATTAGTTTTCTTGTACAGTAAATTTATATCCATAAATTGATGAAAAAAAAACTATTATTTATTTAATAATTTATATTTAAGCAAAGATTTTACTATATAATTTAAAGAATAATTTGAGAACAATATTTTGTGTTAAATTACGAAAAAATATACACATTTTTGTAATGAAATAAATCATGTAATTATTTTTTTGTTCATACTATGTTACGTGTATATTCAATTAACTTAGTTCACGTGAAAATATAAGCGGAATAGTAATTATGAGTCATGAATTATTCATTGATGACCATATGTGTACCAAAAAAAAAAAGAAACATTATGTTAAATACATTGGAATATATTATGTCTTTGATAGATAGTAATATACAATTATTTACATAGTTATAAGAATTATAGTTTTTAGGTGGTTTATGTCATATTTGGTTATCGACCAATTCAAATAAAAAGTGCATGTTTTGTGTTGTTATTTTAGTCAATTATTTATCATTAAAATAAGTTATTAAAATCACCCTACCAAATTGCTTAACTTTCGTCAAGTTAACAATATTTAGTATTGAAAAGATGTAATTAATACATTTTTATTAATATTATTAAATTTTTAATTACTTTTTAATTGATATTAACAAATGTATGTTAATAAACAAACCAATCAATCAAAATATAAAATAATTTACTTTTCATAATACAGTGGAACCTCGCATAACGAGCCATTTTCTTAAGGAGCAAAATTAATTGTAAGAAAAATGACTCGCTCAACGAGAGCCATTTCGCATAACGAGTGACGATGAGAAGAGAAGTCTCGGATTGCGCGCCTGCTACATCATTTTTAAAACGTGTATACATATTATTGTGTATTTTTAAATATGTTTCACTATACGAGTAAAAATCCGGAAATTTTGAAACGGATTAAACTCTTTATAACGATTTTAAGCAAACATGAAAATCCACTATACGAAAATTTATGTACAATAAACATTTTTCTCAATATCCCATTAACGTAAATGTAATATAAAAGAAATAATTAATTGCAAAATAACGTTTTCAAAATATTTTGCACGTCAGAAAATGTAAATATATGCAAACATTCCAAGTTTTTTTTTTGTTCGAAATGCTTTACAAACTAGTGATTTAGCAATACGATTCAATCCACTAATTTGTTGTAAACTTTGTTTGGCAATTATACGAAAAAAATTAAAAAGAAACACAATCAATTCTCGCTGGAATTCCCATTGATTATTAGTGGTCAGTTCCACGTTATAATTTTTGAGTAGTTTACCGTACGTACAATGGCAAACTAGAAAGTTTATTATTGTCTCAATGTTGCCAAATTCTCTACGATGATTATAAAGACAATCACAAGGTTTTTATATTATTTATGGTTAAACACGTGCTGCATGATGCACATTAAATAATTACATAACAACAGCAGCAACAACAAAAAAAAACTTGAAATTATAAATTTTGTAATTTAATTTTGACTAAATTATATAATAAGATTAAGTATTTTTTCATAAAAACTACTAATTAATAAAAACAAAATTCAAGATTGAAAGCCTTAAATTAATGATCTATCAAATTCATGAATTAACAGTAAAATGTAATCAACTCAACTTATTAAAGATTTATACAGGAAACCATTTAAAAATGCGTAATCTAAATCTGAATCTTATCTTTTCTATACACAATTAAATAGAAATTAATGCATAAAGTTGATTAATGTAATGTTTATTTGAATGTTGCGGTATGTGTTTTATGAGCGAGACAAACACATCTCGTTTTCCACAATTTTTCAATGACCTTCGACAATGATAGTCTTCAAATTCTAATTAAAATTGCCAAATTTATCATAAAATTCGTCTGGGAAATATTTATTATATTATATAATTTATTTAATAAAATAGCTTTAGTTTTATCATTTTTACCTAAAAATTACGAGTAATATTACAACATTACAAACATTACAACATTACTCAGTGTTCACATTGATGAATAGATTGTGAATAAAATTATATGAAATAAAAAAAAATGTTATATCAAAACTAAATACTAGTGAAAACATTGAGTATGTTTTGGTAACAAAAAGTATCATATTCAGATGTTTTGGAATTTAATCTGTATATCGTGATTTAATCTTTAACTCGATGAAATCAATATTTTGATCAACAGGACGTAGTTAACTTGAGATGATCATGTGATACAATTTTTTTTATAAATATTTCATTTTTTTGCAATTTGGTCCAAAAACTTATACATTTCAATCAATTACATATTTCTAATTTCTAAGAAAAATGTATCAATTTTTATAGAAAATAATAATAGAAATAACAAGGTCTTAGCTTAAATAGCTCAAATTCCTTTCCTAATTTGAACATATAATTAGGATTAGTGTGTAATACGTATTAGCACATCTGTCTTGACGTTTGTTTAATCTCTTTTTGGGAAATATATGATTTTATTGATAATTATATGTTAATGGATAAGTTGACTTAGACCTACTTGTAATATCATGATGTAATGTATGTGTTATCAACAATTACTAGTGAGTTTAATTATGAATTTGGATGTTCACGAATGTTACATTTCCTTGAATCAAAAAATGTGTAATATCATTAAAAATAAAACGTACTTGGCATATTGAAGAATTATTTTATATGCTCATTACTAGTAAGAATTATTTTCTGGAAACAAAAGCAAAATTAGGACTGCTGTGATTCTTTGAATAATGTTAATGTTTGGATTTTCCACCTTTATACGAAAAATTCTCACAAGTATTATAATAATAATAATGAAAAAAAAAATAAGAATTAATTTAGATTTTTAACAAGACTTACAATTGATAATTTTCAAATTGTATTATTTTCTGAAAACAAATGCAAAATACAGATTGCTATGCTTTTTTGCATAATTTTCGAATAAATATTAGAATTATTTCTTAGTGAATTGTTTATTTCTTTAACAAACTTACATTTCGTTAAAAGAAATGGAATCTTATCTAAACTAATTCTGGGTAATTACAAAAATAGCAAAATTATTGAAAATTTAAAAAAATATCAATATTAGTGAAAATTGATACTTTTCATATTGTATTATTTTTTTGAAAACAAATGCAAAATACAGATTGCTGTGATTTTTTGCATAATTCTCGAATAAATATAGTTATTTCTCAATGAATAGTTTAAATCTTTAACAAACTTAAATTTCTTTAAAAAACAAATGGAATCTTATCTAAACTAATTCTGTGTAATTACAAAAATAGCAACATTAGTAAAAATTCAAAAAATATCAATTAACATTATCATTAGTGAAAATTGATCTCTTCATATTGTATTATTTTCTGAAAACAAATGTAAAATACAGCTTGCTCTGATTTTTTAATTAATATAAGAATTATTTCCCAATGAGTAGTTTAAATCTTTAACAAAGTAACATTTCTTTAAAAGATATGGAATCTTATCTAAAGTAATTCTGTGTAATTACAAAAATAGCAATGTTAGTAAATTTCAAAATGTATTCTATATATCTAAAAATGAGCGAAATTTATAGAAAATTATTTTTCTGGAAATAAAACCAAAATATTTCTGTTTTTTGTTTGCATCACTTACGAAGTTAATTTTGAAATTCATTATCATTATCAAATATCACAAATCTTGGAAACTAGTTTTCTTTACAAATAAATAAAGTTTATATTGAAAATTTTCAAAAATATTGAAATAATAAGTTTTAAAACGTTTGAAAATAATACATTTTTAACATGAAGTATTTACATCAAAATATCAATAATATTTGAATATAAAACAAAGTATACTTCGCATTTCACACAATTTATTATATAATCACATTCTGAGAATTATTGTGCGTATAATTTATGAATAAATAAATATAAACCAAATATTGGGGTTTTCTGTCTTCACATGGAAAATTCTCACAAGTATTGTAATAATTATTATATAAGTAGTTATAACACGTAAATACTTGGAAAATTGATTAAATCTACAAAAAAAAACAGTATAGAAGATAATGTATTACATATTGTTTCGTAATAGGTCGAGAAAATCATAATTTGTCGTATGCAAATCGGAAACTTTTAAATGCGTGCATTATAAGTAGTTAATACTAGTAATTTTGCAATTTAATTGAGTAGAAACACGTGCATGTGAATAAGCAGTCGGCACGCGATCTCTAGAAATATATTAACTTAATATACGTTATTTACACTGTTAATCTTAACAAAAACGAATTTAATTTCAACCACTTTTCATCTACTTAATTTAGTGCTTTCTTCAAATGAATCTTTTACAAAAAAAATCTCTTATCATAAACCATTACGAAATGCGAGAGATAAATCGAAACGCGCTGACCAAGAAACTCTTTTTTTTATTCTTCGAACTCCTCGTAATACAGATTAAACAAATTTGAGCAATTAACATCTACACTAAAAGCAAAGAAAAACAATACCAAAAAAAATTGATGCTGCAGAACGAAAACAACAGTTACTGCTCTAAACGATTTCCAATCGCGTTACGTAAGTTAACAAAAGTTTCCATTATTTCCATTATACATTAAGCGTTGATTAGAGATCTTTCTCCGATCGACTTAGTCGCACGCACACTTTTCAATAAAGAAACCGGGAGATAAAGAAGGAGAGACAGAGAAAGAAAAAAAAATCATAACATATTTTAAGTTTTATTAAACGTGCAAACAGCGATTCGCAAATTGTAAGAATTGCTTATACAAATAAACCGTATTTTTAAACGTTACGTAACGCGAGTTATTACGCGCGCGCGCGTATCTCAACATCTTTGCTTTAGTTATTGATACGTGAAGAGAAGCAAAAGAAAACAATGTAAATGAACGACAAAATGACTTTACGCAACAGTTTCGGACGAGGTAATTTCTCTTGCGTAATTACGCTCCAAATTATTTTAAATGCTACAAATTGTTTTTTTAAACGTATAATGTACGTTACAAGAAAAAAAAACGGATGTTGATGCAATTAGGAATCGTTTGCATATTGAGGAGGTGAATGGTGAAAAAGAAAATTTTAAAAAATAAACTGGTTTCAGTTCAAAGTGCAGCAGGGCTCGTCGCATCGTCAATAATTGATTTCTATGTAAATTTTATGGTGCTCCGAGTCGGCTGAGTCTGTTGCGTTGTTCCCAATGGCAATTAGCATTGGCTTGAATATCGTTTTCTATCCACCGTCTAACCAATTTATTTTTTTTATTGTTCAATATATTTAGTTACAAAACAGGCGCATCGCGTTTTACGCTGATGGGAATATTAACAGTTTACTTTGAAATATCCTTGCGAATGTAATAACATAATTTTGCTTAAACAGTACAACAACAACAACAACAACAACAATAACCAAAATACAAATAAAAAGTAAGAATTGATGGAGGTCGTTACTAAAATCTTCAGGTCAGCAAACAAAGTTAATTTTGTGTACTTGATCTAGAAAACTTAAAATTAACAAGTAAATTATTATGTAATTATTTAAGTTAAAATTTAACATTTCTAGATTCATATAATCGCATCAAATAGAATTAAATCTATGCGCGCAGTTTCTATTGAAAATTTCCAAATTTCATCAATTATTTAAATAATGGATAATTTCTATTAAACGGTTCTAAATTATTTTGAATTTTATTGATTTTATTTCTGAATTGTTTGGTCTCGTGTAAAATTAAATTATATGTGATTTAATATATCTTGAAAATTTTAATAATCACATTTTAATAATTAATTATTCAATTCTTAAATTTTATATGCGCAGTTTCCATTGAAACAAAGTTATTTAATTATTGAAATTTTAAAAACTATTGGCAATTAATTTTCCTGTTAATATAAACTTTCTCTTTTCATAATAATTTCTAAGAGAAGAAAGCAACTAAAAATAAATCATCTGGTTTATACTTTTCTATTATAATAATATATTGAAATGATCTTTCTACGTCGTTTTGCGCCGGTTCGATTTACGCCGATTCACAATAACGCCACTACGAAATAACGCTTATTAATTGCTGATTTTACACTTATATATAACTAAACAATATAGTTACCTCACTGTAAATATGGGTTCATTTTATGCCGTTTCGATTTGCAACGGCTTTTTTTAAGAATGGAACCCCGGCGTAAAACGACGTTTATTTGTATATGTTTAGGTAATAAAGTAATTCATGTAAAATAGTTAATAACAATCCTACATGTTACTTAATTTTTTGATAAAATTATTTAATACACCAATCGCGATCTGCCAACATCCTAAACTATTTGAAACAGGACTAATCGAGAAACCTAAAATCTCATAAAAATAAACCTTACAAAAAGAGACTTTATAAACTAAAAAGGGAATATACCGACCATTTATGTATAAACAAATATATTGTGTACTAATTTTCTGTTGAATCTGTGAATCCGAATTCTTATAGAAGTCGTACTACGCAAGCGGTGGCAATCGCATGCCCGACAACCGAAATACCGTCAATCAAATTCTCGACGTTTGAAATGCCGACTGTATTGAAATCCCGACAAACATAATCCCGACTATATTAAAATCCCGACTCCCGAGATTATTTCATAATGTTAAGATTTATTACGAATAATTCAACAAAATCAAATAAATTAATAATAATTGTTATTAATAATAAAAGTGTAGCACAAGGTAACTCCGGAATAATTTAAAAATGTTTGATACAGTCGGAATTTTGATATAGTCGGGATTATGTTTGTCAGGATTTTAATATGGTCGGGATTTCGATACAGTCGAGATTTTGATATAGTCGGGATTATGTTTGTCAGGATTTTAATATAGTCGGGATTTCGATACAGTCGAGATTCTGATATAGTCGGGATTTGGAACGTCGGGATTTCAATAGACGGTCTTTCGGTTGTCGGGCTTGCGATATAGACCCCTATGCAAGATATTGCTGTTCTATATTACTCAAATTATAAAATCTTATGACAGTTATATAATTATTATTTATATTTATTTTTTTAAATTTTTCATTTGAAATACTTTAGATTCATTACTTATAATTTTATTTATTTCCGCCTACAGTTGTAATTATTTCGATTGTAACGTATATTATAAGTAATTTTATACTTGTTGAATCTATTTCTAGTCTCATTCTATCAATATTTTAACATAAGAGTCGTTATTTTTGATTCCAAGTCCATTTTTCATACATCGAGATATTTAAGAATTTGTGTTTAAATTAATTTATAAAAATATTAGCAAACTTTAAACAATTTGGGTGATGTTTTTAACACTATAAACCCGTCAAATTTATGATTCTATATGATTAGGAAAAGTATTAATATAAAAAGAGGATATCTATATCTTACACATTTTTGTCCAAAAGTGGACTTATACCACTTTACAAAAACGGCTGATATATAAAACTGTGATAATTACAATTTATACATACGAATTTCATCGACTAAATGGTAAAATCCACGATTCTATTGCTATCCTATTAGTATATAAGTCAAATCTGCAGGAAATAAAGTAAACATAAACAGGATAAATACAAAAATCTAAAAATAGAAATAACAAACGATGACACTTAGTAGCATCGATTTAAATGTTAATTTTAGATTAGGAAAAGGATTAATATTAACTTAAGGATAATTCCAGGTGCGATAAACGAAATCACAAACAGTGGAGAGAGATAAAAAAGTAAAATGAACGGCATGCATATTTTTGATACGCCGCTATGTCTACGAGTCTACACATAATAGTATATAAACGCTATTACGAAACACAATAATAAAAGTATATATATATATAACCTACATACATAGCGTACGATCTTATAAATATATGTTTTTCCATTACGTCTTGCAAAATTATCGCGAGATTAAATAAAAGATTTCCGAATAATTTAGATAAGTATTTGATGTTTGAGTGTGACTAAAAAAAATAAACATGGATTTAGGTCAGTTTCGCGAAAGTATTAATTTGAAAGAAAACTACAACTACCATATAATTATATTTCAAAACCTCAATCGCTTTAATTTTTTCATTGATATTTTGGATTAAATGATTGTAAATTATTGCATTATAAAAGAAATATAAAATAACAAATATATGATTTTTTTTTAATGCTACAGTTTTCTTAATTTATTTTCTCGGTTAAATTGAACTATGTCTAAGAATTTAATATTTAGTCGGTTATTTAATGTATGTTAAAAATGAGATCTTAATTAACAAATACTCACCTGTACAGTGTAAAATTTTATGAAATGATGTATAAATTTCCAAATTGTATATGTGACATGTTTATGTTTCTTAGGTGTGATGGGTATTATCTTGATGTACCTACTGTTGGTAATGTCGAGTAGGTCATGGACAATGGAATACAATTTTTCCAACAAATGCCCAGGACCATCGGATCGAGGTCCATGCAACCTGAAAATATACAAATGGGCGTACGACGCAAAGACTGAAACCTGTTCGATGTTCGTGTGGGGTGGATGCGCCGGGAACGATAAAAACCGCTTCGACTCTGAACATCAGTGCATCAAAAGCTGCATAAAACCCACAGGTGAATAAGTTAAAACATTAAAAACATAAACGAATCGCTTCTTCTTTGCATACAGAAATCATTGCTGCAAATCCAGTTCCAATTCAACAACGAGGACCTCAATTGACCTTCCTCGAAACGGGCGATCAAAGTACATTCATGTTTGCACAATCGAACACCTTCATACAAATCGAAGGCGACATCATACAGACGTTCCAATTAAGGTGGATTTAAACTTTCACATCATTTCTGTAGTGTAATTAATCATATTTTTCTTCAGGCTGTGTCGTCAAATTTCCTTTCAGTTTCGCACAAGACTTCCGCACGGTCTTCTCGTCTATCATAACGTAAATGCTCCGACTGAAGTACCGATTCTTCCGTACGCTCTCTACATAATAGTTGAGCAGGGACGGCTGAAAGTCGTGCACGTTTATGGCTCGAATTCCACGACCCAAACAATTGGACAAGCACTGAATCGCGATGAATGGCATTCCGTGACGGTATAGTTTTGTTTCCTCATCATAGATTTTTTATTTTCATGGAAATTAAGTTAATCGTATTGGTTTTCAGGTGCGCATCGACGTGAACATGGGTCGACTCATCACGATAGTTGATGATCTAAAAGTTGAAACCAAAATAAAGGGATTGCACGGAAAACATAATTACGGAGTTACTGAGAATGTTACTTCAGGTGTATTTGTTGGTGGTAAGAACAATCAATATACGCATAAACCATTATATTGTATCGTACCATCTTTTAAGGCTTGCATCCAGAGGAAACGAACGTTTTACCAGGGGTAAAATATATAATTGAATCGTTCATTGGATGCATCAAAGACATAGTTTTGAGCTATGGAAAATCTGCTTCTGAATTGTTACCTATTACACCATTAGTGGCAACGAAGCACGAAAACGTACAAGAGGGTTGCGTGAACAAATGCAAAACAAAGGATAATTTGTGCTTCGAAGGGTCTACGTGCATCAACCATTACAGAGGGATAACGTGCGACTGCTTTGGAACACAATACGAGGGCGAATTCTGTGATATTTATTGTAAAAGCACCACGCTATTTCCACATTATAATTAATCAATGTTACTTGGTTTTAGCTACGACAGCTTTAACTCTAAGAGGCTCTTCATACGTATCGTACCGAGTGTACGATTGGAAAGATCGTGTACATTCAGCGGTCAATCGATTTTCAATGATGTTCAAGACGAGATTCGATGATTCCGTTCTTTTCTATGCGGCAGGAGGCAACGAGGATATAGATCATTATATAGCAGCATCCATCCAGAACAACTTTATTCACGTGGAGATTGACTTCGGCAATGGATCTATAGACACTGTGCTTGGTCGCACAGCAAACTTTGCTGATTGGAACCATTTAATTATCGAACATGAATATAACAAAATCCATTTGATGTTAAACGACGAAAAGGTAACACTTAACATTACCGGTAACTCCATGTTGCACATTGACCCAGAGATCTACATCGGAGGAGGTCCTGAATTGCACAAGAAAAGAGGTCTTCATTCCTCCAACAATTTCGCTGGTTGCATCAAACACGTTTTTTTCAACGACTTTTCTATCATCAACGAACTGCACAAGTTGAACCCCAAAGTACATTACATCGGCATTTTGAGGCCGGAATTCTACGAAACTGACGTCAAAGTTATCCCTTTAACATTCCCATTCGCATCTTCTTACATTTGGTGGCCTAACGATCAAAACCATCTTCTTCACATTAAGTTCGATTTCAAGAGCAGCAGCAACCTGAGCGTCTTAGCTTCAACCATCTCGATGACAACGGGGATCTATTGGGAAATCCGTTTGGTTAATGATGAAATCCGCTTCGAACTGTCGCACATCAACAACAACTCGACTTACTTAATAAGCCTCAAGCAAGCTCACGATAGGATTTGGCACAGCGTAGACTTAAAGTACGAGAGCGAAAAATTATGGATACAAGTCGACAATAAATATAGAGAGGAGACGATTAAAAACGTGTACTTCGAGATTGGGGATAAGATCATGATTGGCGGAGGTTCTAAAATTAAGACAGGTCTCGTTGGATGCATGAGGAACATCGAAGTTAACAACATTAAAGTCGAGCCCAGATCAATGCTGCAATCTGAGAGAATGTCCGGAGAAGTCACATTGGATGATTGCAGGTTCGTGGATCCTTGTAAGAGGCCCAACACATGTGAGCATGGCGGAAAATGTTCCGTGAAGGATGACAAATTACTTTGCGATTGTACCGGTACGGGTTACATTGGTAAAAACTGCCACTTCACCAAGTATCGTAAGACTTGCGAAGAATTGGCACTTCTGGGTAAATGTAGAGCAAAATAAAATGAGTACTTCACAATAAACTAGTTAATTGTAGGCCATACGAAGGACGGAGTGTACGTGATCGATATAGATGGAAATGGTAGATTCCCACCTGTTCACGTGAGCTGCATGTTCCAAACTGAACAGGCTTCAACGAAAACCGTGGTGGAGCACAACTTGTTGAGTCAAATGGATGTTAGATCTACGAAAGAGAGAGATTTCAGCTTTAACATCAAATATAGAGAATTCAGCGCTGATATGCTGCAAGAGTTGATCTCGCATTCTTTGAACTGCAGTCAACAGATCCAGTACGGTTGTTTGAACGCTCCGTTGGATTTGCACACTTCCACGTGGTTCGTGAGCTCTGCCAACAAAACCATAGATTTCATTGGAGAAGTTAAGAGGTAAAAGGTTAAATAATACAAAAAATAAATAATTTAAACACTTTTTCAGAGGAAGATGTCCTTGTTCCATTGGGAAGCAATGTGATAATGCAACGCAATGGTGCAACTGCGAAAATTCAGTAGATAACAAATATTTAACTGATGAGGGATACTTTACAAAGAGCGAACACCTTGGGATTACTGAAATGTTTTTCCTGCAACAACCAAATTTACCTAATAACGCTTTAGGAAGAATTACTTTAGGACCATTGGAATGCTTTGAAACTAGTAATTTTATTTTTTATTCCAGTTGAATTTGCTTAAATAATGAATACATTTTTAGATACTCAAAAATACGTGGTAATGTTTACGACTAGTGAATCTTATATAGAAGTCCCTGGATGGAGGAAAGGAGATTTAGCGTTATCTTTCAGGACGACTGGAAAGAAAGCCATTTTATTGTATCAACCACCAATAAGACCAAACTATCCAAGTTTCATGGTCGCTTTAACCAATGGTAAGTACTTATAAACTCAATTAAAAGGAAAATAATTGGTGATGTATTATTTGCAGATCGCCAATTGACATTCAACTTCACGTTAAATACTAGAGTATCCAAAGAATTGGTCATAACTTCAACAAAACCATTGAACGGAGGAGAATGGCACAAACTGTGGATAGATTACAACACCTATCACGTTAGGTTCATGATCAACGAAGAACGCGCTATGTACAATTTGGAACTTGAAGAGCAATTCGGACCGTTCGAAGGCTCCATGTTCATTGGAGGCGCTCCGTAAGTCTAATTACATATAACTCTAATCAATAAATAGTAAACCTTAGTTCTTTCTTTTAGAGTTTTCTTGCATCCAAAATCTTCAATATCGCAAGGTTTGATAGGATGCTTCAGAGGTTTGGTGGTTAACGACGAAGTACTAGATATATACAGTTACATGAGCGTTCATCTGAACGAAATAAAGAAAGAATGCAAACCATCTTGCGTTCCAAACCCTTGCAAGAATGGAGCCCAATGCAAAGAACTGTGGAAGACTTTCGAGTGCATTTGTCCAAACACCTGGGCCTACAAAGGGGTTTACTGCGAAACAAGTAATTATAACACTTAGAACATTTTAATGAACACAATTGAAGAACACACACTTATTTCAGATATAAATAAAAATGCGATTACTTTCACTCATCCCGAATCTTACCTGAAGAAGAATTACCTCGGCACCGATGATTTAGAAGAAAAATCTTTGCTGAGACAAATATTCGATAATAGAGTGTTGATCAATCTGCGTACTTACGATATAACATCGCTGATTATGTACGCTAATGATCATTTGAACAACTTCGTTCATTTATACTTGGAAAACGGAACAAACGTAATCTACTTGTTCAATTATGCAGACACGATCTATAACATTACAGTGGAAAATTCGGAATTAAACAGTAGCCAGTCCATACAAATTGTGATTGAGAGGAATCCGGAAAACACAACTCTGCACGTAAACGACAGAAACAATTCAATACCAATTGGTGTTTTGCTCTTAAAAGACTATCTGAACAAACCATGGAAGAACCCTGAGAAAGGTTTGTAACAGTAAAACATATTTGAAAGAAATCACATATATTTGCTTTTCAGAGGTGTTGTCTCCTCAAAGACCCCCAGCTCCACCAACGGATTACTTCGAAATAAACTTAGGTGGTTACGATGAAGAAACCTTGACGAAAGTCTCAAGTTATCCATCAGACTTACCAGGATACGTAGGTTGCATTCGCGGGTTGCAGATCGGCGAGAAATTGATCGATTTACCATCTAAGATCAAAGAGAGCGACAGGGGAATGGGTAAATACAAATGCATTAAAGAATGATTAGCAGATTGTTGATTGAAATGATGTTTAGGGGTGAAAGCGAATTGCAATTTGAAGTGCGACAATTCACCTTGCAAGAACGGTGGTATTTGCATAGAAGATTTCCGTAACCAAGAGCATACTTGTGATTGCGAACTCACCAGTTATTATGGTGAGCTCTGCTTGGATGAGAAAGGTGCAGAATTCAGCGGAGAATCAATTCTATGGCGAGAGTACGTCTTAAATGGTTCCGTGGATTACGTAAAAGCGCAGTTAGCATTTTCAACAGCAGATGTTCGCCAAAAGAATACAGCTCTGCTATTGTTAAAAACAGAAACTAGGTATTTAATTAATATAATATGTTTTCAAATAATCGCTAAAGTAAATTTTTGTTGTTAAAGTCGAAGATACTACCTGTTGTTTGCTTTGACCGCTGAAGGACATTTGGTCATTAAAGAGGATAGAGAAAACTATTTATATGGAGCCATCCTCGAAATGGACTTCATCAACGGGGCAAGGCATTCCATCTATTACAAGAGACAAGGTGATGTGTCGGAGCTTCTGGTGGATAAGGAAGCGGTGAAAATGATGAAAATGGAGATGCCTTCTTTCAGCAAAATCCCTGAAATCGAAAACAACGAATTGCAGATCGGTGGTCACAACACCAGCGATCCCAGATTTACTTCGTACAAATACTACAGCGGATGTTTATCCAGTAATTAAACAAAATCGTAACATTTTTAAACCTAGTTGTGATCCTAAAAAAAATAATTTGCAGATGTATTCGTGCAAATCAACAACAACATCATGAAACCATTGGAAGAGTACATGTTCTTTATAAAAGTAGATGAGAACGTGAGTGTTTCAAACCCTCAAGGAGTTCGCAGCACGCAATGCAATTCGTTCTTCGATGCCGACGACACGAACAGATCCACGGACATGACTTACATTCAGGTAATTTCAAAAACAATCATCAATTATTAAGAGTTTAATATATAAATGGTAATTCAGGGGCAGGACAAAACTTGGGTCAGGGAAACACCTCACAGAATTCCTTACGAATCAAGTTACAAAGTGGTCAAAGACGAGGAAGGAAGCGAAAAGATGATCATTATTATATTATCAGTGGTGTTAGCTGTAATAGTAATAGGAGCTTACTACGAAGTTTACAGAAGCCACAAGCAGTATATACGAAGGAAAGAGATGGAAACGGATGCGAGCATTTTCTGGTCGAAAGAGCAAGCCTTGAAACTGCAGCAACCGTCTATAATAATCACGGACGACGTACGTACAGCTTCCAAAATTACATAACTAAATAATAACAATGATTTGGAACGCCTCAGATTCTGGATAAACCCATAACGAATGGAAATTACAAAGGTAATTACATCACGAACGAGATTCCGATCATCACAGAGAAACCGGTATTGGATCCGAACAAGATCAATCAGGAGAAGAGGATCACTTTCAGAGGTCATTATTATTTTTATGATGAACTTTCTCCTAATAATAATAATGCGTTTAGATAGCGGAAGTGAATTGTCTTGGGATTTACCGGAGAACACGGAACTGCTGAGCGTGTGCGAGGAAGAGGAAATCGGGTCTTCGGATGAAGAAGACCAGGTGGATCGTAATAAACGCGTAAGTAAACTGCATGGTTTCGCGAGATTGAGTAGCATCAGTGAAGTGACTTTAAGCTCGAATTCGAGCCACAGCTCTTTGGACACATGATAATAATCATTACAACGCATGTTAACAATCGCTTTTATCCCAATTGTAAACATATTAATGTACTAATTCTGATCAAGTATTCTTGTAAATAACCGCCATATTTTTCGGACAATAAGACGCACCTTGTTACTTCAATTTATCAAAATTGAGGTCTTGTATATACATTAATTTCTTAATTATCTCATAAATATTAGACGCAAATTATTGTCCGAAAAATAAAGGAAATCTATTGATCAGTGGTTCTTCAATTATACTCGCACCGAACCACGGATTTTGACGAAATCTCACTTATTTTCTTATTTATAGATAAAATAACATTTATTTTCCTCACCTCTTAAGTTTTAATCAATTTTCAGTCTCACAAAAACTTTAATTAACTGCAAATGACTTATCGTTAAAAAAAAACAACAAACATTGTTGACACATCCAAAGCATGCACACGTAATATAAATATAATAACACGCTTTGGAAAAGTGTCATCTGTATGTATGAACTAACATTAATTATGATTTCTCAGCATTTGTATGTTAACCGAGTTTAACGTTGTTTAGGACTCGAACACCGCAAAGTTATAAACAATTCAGCTTTTGTTTCAATGGTAACATTTATAAGTGCACTAAGTAAAATAAATAATCACATTGTATATATGGAGGTAAGTCATTATAATTAATTTAGTATTAATTAACATTTACATTAACAATATTTAAATGGTTTTTATTGGTATTTTACACGCAATTGTTTGTTGTGTAAATTAAAATGGTTTGCAAATAACATCAACAGTTGTAACATCATCATTTTGGGATCTTTGGTATAAAACAAATTTAAGAAAAACTGTATTTAAATTCAATTATTATGTGCATTTAGGCAATCAACGGGGATTATGTTAGCGTTAGACAAGATCAACTAGCGAACGGTAATTATATTCTATTTACAATTAAAAGAATTCTTATTAATTCTTTGTTTATCAGCAGATAATGCACAAAGGTTACGATTGAGACCAGTGTTTCTGAATCCGAATCAACGGAGGTACGCGAATCCCATAAGTTACTTGGGTGGACCAATCCTATCGGATAGAGCCAGATCCAGTTTGGAGAGCGTCCTCTCCGTCGATTGAGTAAAACTTAAACGATCATCATCATCAAAGTCGTCATCCTGTTTTTTGTGATCTTAATTTTAGTATTAACAAAGTATTGTGTCATATTTTAGATCAATAGAGATGCTAGTCACAAAATAAACAATTATTTTTTTCAACAATTCAAGATGGAATTTGAACTGATTTAATCAAAACTCATCTTAAAAACTAATCATCAAGTAATTGTATTACAGTTTTTCAAACACTAACAAATACATTGAATGTTATTTAAGCAATATACAATAAATAAATTTTATACAACAATGCCTAGGTTTCTTAAAATTATAACGATGGATATATTAAAAAAACTATGTAAAATCACGATGGGAACAACTCTTTATAGTGTTTGATATACTCCGCAAGTCGTTCATCTAAAATACAATTGTTGATATTCAAAATCAAAATCAATTTACAATTGAATCTCTTACCTTTCTTGAAAGCATTTGCAAATTGCGAATTGGAATTGAAATAGTAAAACGTGCTGTGGAAGAGGGACGGATCTCCGGTGCATTTCGCGGCTTCGAGGTACTTCCGCGGACTTACTTTGTCGGTAACTAATTTCAGAGCGTACAATAGTTGGCCTTGGCTCAACAAAATCTCTTGCATTTCTTCGACTGCATCTGTAAAACAGTGTTTATTTTGAATATACGAATCCTTAAATCCTTCCTCAACTCACTTAAACGCAATAACATATCCAGAGCTAATTGCGAAGCTCCTGGATTCACATTTTCTAAAGACAATAGTAGACACGCCAGTGGTTTGGAATCGGATACGACGCCGTATTGGAGCATTTGCTGTAACGCGCTTAATTTGTTCCTACGTACCTGAAAAACGTTAACTTTAAGCTTACAATAAACTTAATTGAATCGTGATCTTACTAAGGTTGTAAGCAGCAACTCGTTCAAATTATGTTGTGCTGAAATAGAATATTCCGATAATGATGTTAAATAAGCGATTAGTACCCATTCTAATTTTGCAAATTGGTCTTGAGTGTCCAACTTTTGGGCTATACTGTTGTAAAAGTCCATTTGATCGATTAATACCGGTGGTGGCGTATTGGGTTTGAAGTTCTGAATTGGGGCACTGGCTGGAACAGCAGTTTGATTTTGGAGCTCGTTTTCGACCCAAACCCTGTACACATTGTTGATGTGATTGAAAGATTCTTGCAATTTCTTCAGCAAAGGCCTGGCGATGGTTATATTGTCATATAATAACTGGAAAGGATAAAATTACGCTTCTGCTTCAGTTGAATAATTATAAATCACCTGAAGTAGAACTGATTTACCGCCGGTTCTTTTCAAGGCCATTTGCGTGCAGATCGCTAGATCTTTGATCTGCAGACATAGATTTTGCAAGCACAGTTTTATGTGCCAAAGACAACCCAGCTTTGCGTCGATTACAATATTTGGTTGAAACACCACCCACGTTGGCGAATCTTAGCATATTATTAAGAAATGATTAATTTTGATAGAGATTTGATACATTCGATAATATTTAAAGAAAGGATACATAATTCGCATAAATGCGTCTTTGGTTCTACTAGGCCAGGCAGCGATAGTGTAGCAGGTTTCAGCGATCTCGCAGGAGCCATGGGAATATGATAAGTTACGTTACCATCGCTTTCTCCAGTTAAAGCAATATCAAAAATTTGCGAACATCTCGAAGCCTATCAATTATATTTGTTATTGAGAAGTATTGAAATAACTACGATGTAAGAGTAACCTGATGATGAATTAACACCAAATTGTCCACGACGTTAATTGCGAATCTACCAGATAAACCAAGACGAAGTACATGAGATTTAACAGGTGCCATCCCTGGTCCGTTCAACGTGTGTATATGGACTTCAGCGGTTTGCGGCCCAGTTTGATGTCTCAAGATTAAAATTGATGGTACACCATAAAGTGTAGCTAACGTGACGTCCCTCTCTAAAGCCATGCGTCCAGGTTCAGCTAAAACGCCTTGATTAGTTAAATTACTTGATTAAGTTATACACTCTTACTCTCCACTTTAGGAAGTTTGCTAATAGAGCCTTGCTTGAAGCTGATAGGAAGCAAAATTGAGCCATGGGCTGAAGAGAGCAAGGCGATTTTGTTAATGGAACACCAGATGAACCACTGGATAGGAGCTGATACTGATTTAAGATGTTTCAAAGTCCTCTTTTCTGGTAAGACCATGTACAGCTCAATCCCATGGTCAGTCATGAAAGCCACCTCATTGTTGGGCAACCAAATGAAACCAGTCATCTGAACATTTTTCTTGCACTGCTGTGTGTACTCAGTTTCAACAGCTGCACCATTGAAATTCATGAATTCCACAGAGGTCACAGTCCTCTGCACAGCCAAAATCTTTCTATCCAGTGAAAACTTTATGGATATCACTGGTCCATGATCCTCCATCCTAAAGTTTATTGGTTTGGTGTCTTCATATGGACCTTTAACCACAACACCCATAACACCACCTGACCTCACAGCAAAGACCTAGAAATTTGGAAATACATATTTTTTTGCAAAAGAAAATGAGTAATATCTATATGTATTAACTCACCTGCTTATTGGAGTCATCAAAGAATACATCAGTCACTTGATTTGCAGCCTCAAATCGAACTGGATTCTCAGATAACTCTAGATATGTATCAGAAGACATTATAGGGCAGTAACTATTTCATCTGATTTCATCCAATCTCATCACAACAATAAACAAAGTACTTTAACCTTAAAAAATACAAGCTTATTAAGTTGCATATATCATCGTGCCAATTATAATAAAATTTACCTAATTAATACAGACAAGATAACACAGTAATTATCATGTAATTACTAAATGATCCATTTGATAAAAATCTACAACTCAATCAAAGGAAGTGGATTAATTAAATTCCATTATCCAATTAATTCTATCCCCACTCCTTCTTGAATTTTAGTTTAAATATGAAATTCTTGTCCGAAAAATATTAGTCTACAATTTTAATTGCGTTTGGTAAGTTAATAATTTCAACTCTAAGATTTTAACAAAGCCAATAAAAAAAAATGTTTGAAATCTTTTACAGATTTCTAAGATTGAATGAGCTTCTGGAAACGCTTCACTAGAATTCCTTGTACTAGTACCGTCGAAGGTTTAAATTAAAGAAAATAAATTTTGATTAATTGCCAATATTATATTAGAATCACTGTTTTAGAACCAATGAATATGCCTCCTTTCTACAAGTTTACTTACTATCCTTTAAAGGGTTTGGGAGAACCTATCAGATTCCTGATGAGATACGGTGGCGTCGAGTTTGAGGATGACCGCTTTGTCATCGATGATTGGCCTAAAATTAAGCCAAGTAATATTACGTTAATTAGATTTTCAATTAGATTTATAATTGTATTTATTTATTTGTTTAGAAATGCCTTTCGGGCAAGTCCCTGTGCTCACTGTGAAGGGAAAACAATACCATCAAAGCACGGCTCTTGCTAGATTCTTCGCCAGGAAGGTACATCTTGTTGGTAACGATGAATGGGAAGATCTTGAGATCGATCAAGTCGTCGATGCGATCAACGATCTTAAATCAAGTATTTAATTAACAACTATTTAAATATTCGCTGTCTTTATATAAACTGTTAAATTTTAGAAATGATTCTGTACTTTTACGAGACAGATGCGGCGATCAAACATTCACGAAAAGGTCCATTGTACGAAGAAACTCTTCCATTTTATTTGAAGCGTTTCGACAACCTCGCTCGAGAAAACCATGGATATTTGGCTTGCAAACGAGTAACAAAAATAACATTTCCTTTAAAGCTTAACTACTAATAAATTAATTGCAGTTGACTTGGGCGGATGTCTACTTTGTTGCTATACTGGATTACTTGAACTACATGATGGATATGGACATAACTGGCAAATATCCCAATCTGGAAACGGTCAAGCGCAATGTTCTATCTGTTCCAGCTATTAAGGATTGGGTGGACATCAGACCAAAAACAAATTACTAATTTTTGAATTTGAATTCCAAGAATCTCACATGCAACCAAACATACACAATTTCATTTTCTTCAAATATTAATTGCTTTTTAAATGTTGATTTTATTGATCACTTAGCATATTAAATAATAATATTAAGAGGTAAAAAGATATTTAATTATAAGTTTGCTAATAATTTGAAAACTGTATGTTGCTTTTAATACGTTCAATAAAGTTCACAGAGGTCGCTGCTGTTCAGCGATTGCAAACACCAAAACGTGTTTACAATTGTAACCTTAGTTTAGTTTTAAATGTTCTTAAATTTCCGTCTATAATTTTTGTTCAGGTGTTTGTGCAAATTATCGAAAATAAGGTGAGCTATTATTTTATTATTAAATTGATTATTTTTCTTGATAGACTTAATTAAGGGAGAAATTTACTTATTTGGAGGTTATGATTCGTACCACGTGCGTTTAAAGCATTGTAAATGCTACATTACGAGAGACTAAAGAAGCAAGCTAGATTTGTTAGCATTATTTTATAGTATCAATTATAAAACTATAATATTTCAGGTCAATAACAATTGTTTAAAAAATAACTTTTTTTGTAAAATTCGTAACTTTTTGGTTAATATTTATCAAATGCTTTAGTTATGTATTAATGCTTAACAGAAAACCTTGAAAAGTAATTATTTGTAGCTTATTTATTGGAAATTTAATGAAATCAAATATATTTATTTCCTATTGTAGCTAGAACATCTCTTAACATTCTTCATACATTAGAGACCTTGTGTATTATTAGCTGAATACTAAATTTAAAAATACATATTTCTTTAATGAATTGTATTCTCAATACTATTCGGAAATTACTATTCCTAGTAGTATTGAGAATATAAACAAGCATGTTTTGCAATTACTTTTATAATATTAGTAATAAGAAACTTGTAATGTGTAATGAAAATCATGTCAAATTATAAAAAAATAACAATTCTTTTTCTATTTTAGAATGTCATTTAGAGGACGTGGAGGTGGCGGCGGTCGTGGAGGTGGTTTCAGAGGCGGCAGAGGAGGACGCGGTGGTGGAGGTTTCAGAAATTTTGACCAGGGACCACCAGAGACAGTCACACCTTTAGGATTTTTTGACTATCCAGTGCAGGACGATTTAGTGTGCAAGGTGGAAATTAAAGATGTGCCGTATTTCAACGCGCCAATCTACCTGGAGAACAAGGAACAAATTGGTAAAATTGACGAGATCTTCGGTAACGTTCAAGACTACTCCGTAACCGTCAGATTGAGCGAAAACATGAAGGCCGGAAGTTTTAAGAAGAACCAAAAGGTGATATATTTTATTGATATTAAATAGTTATATAGATAGTTGAATAATTTGAATATAAGTATTAACGTTATTTTTATTTTACTTTCAGTTATTTATTGATCCGGCGAAATTGTTACCTATTTCGAGGTTCTTACCACAGGCACCAGGCGCGAAGAAACGCGGCGGTGGTCGTGGAGGCGGTGGCCGCGGAGGAGGCTTCGGACGTGGAGGTGGTGGAGGACGAGGCGGCGGTTTCGGAAGAGGAGGTGGCGGAGGATTTGGACGAGGAGGCGGTGGTGGATTCGGACGTGGAGGCGGAGGCCGAGGAGGTGGCGGTGGAGGATTCGGACGAGGAGGCGGCGGTGGTGGATTCGGACGAGGAGGCGGCGGTGGT